TTCTTGGATCTTTAGGATGTCAAAACGCAAGAATTTAACAATTTTTAATTATTTTGAGAAAAAATCACGACCTGAAATTAGTGAGGTGACAGCGTCTAGTACCAATGTAAGTTTTTCTGTTGTACATAAATGTGATACTTCCGTTGAAGAAAACGTTTCTGCATAACAAAATCTGATGAATGTGAAAGTGACCCTCAAAGTGTTACTTCCCACCCATATGACATTGGACTTTTTTCAGAAGATATTGCATTATGTTCTTAAACTTAAAAAATCAAATCAAAATTTAACTAAGCAATGTTGTCTAAATAAAAAGTCAAAATTGTCTCGCTGTCTAAATTAAGGAAATAATAGTGCTATATTACAGACTCGATCGAATTTCTTTTAGTAGTTTCAGAAAATTATGACACCCCCCTTGAAAAAATTCTGTGTACACCAATGCTAATAATTATATTTAAAAAATAATAACCATATTATTTTTTCAACAATCCAAAACCCCGAAAAATTTAATCATAAGTGTAAATTACAAAATAAATAAATGAAAGAAAATTACTTTATTATCATGCAAGTCAAGTTTCTTTAGTGGTTTACCTTCCTGAAGATCCCATAGAATAATAGAGGAGTCGGCTGAACCACTGGCCAGAATATTTCTGAAAAGTTCCAAAACATATTTTTACACAGTTTTTAAAAGACAATGAACGTGCTTAGGACCCATGTATACTACTGATATTTTCTAAAACTTTCAGTTTAGATGACAAATATTATTTAACTGTGAAATCAACTGCAAATAGTAAAAAACTGAAAATTATTATTATTTATTATATCTATATTAATGCAAATCAAACAATCTTTGTTTTTGAGATGTGAAATCTTTTTTACCTCAACTGAAAAAACACACACACACTATAACTATTTTTTTGCAAAAAAATAAATAAATTATAAAATAGTAAGGATTAGTATTAAAGATACGGTACAGTATTTTTATTATAGTATTTATACAGTATTTTTGCATAAAACCTGTTTAAAAAATATCCTTAAGAATCTTAAGAATGATAACTTCGTAATAATGTAAATGCATACCTCACATTTGTTTTTAAATTTCCTTTAAGATTTATGGTCGATACTTTTTTTAACACCTTAATTAACACCAATAATTTCATATAAACAAATGAATAAAAACTAATTAAAAGTCTCACAGAAATTAATAATAGTATTGCCTAGTTGTAAATATTGCATAAATATAATTATATGGAAGAAAAAATTCATTTTCAAAGGGAAATAGAAAAAAAATTAGGACAAAACATTTTTCCAATAAAAATTTTAATATTTAAAAAATTAAAATTTTTAATTATAATTATGATTGTATTTCTAAAATTAATAAATAGCTAGAATACTGATACGTTAATGTCCAAAATTTTATAGCATACAAGTAAAAAAAGAAAAACAATTTCAGGAATGTATATTTAATGAAAGAGAAAAAAAAGTTTCAGAAAAATTGCACTCACTTTATGTGAGCAAAAAGTTTGCATTAAGTTTTTTTTTCTTCAAATTAACAAAATTGGATGTCACCTTTGTCTCATATACACATCTTTATTACTTTAAATTATATTACAGTAAAACCCCGCTATAGTGAACACGGTTTATAGTGAACTCACGGATATAGTGAACGAAATGTTCGGTCCCGTGCCTTGCTATACACGTATAATGTTATTTTTTGTGGATATAGTGAACCAAAAAAGTTAGGAAGTTGGATATAATGAACTTTTTTCTAATTTTTTTCATTTTTTTTTGTAATAATTTTGAAATTTCTACTTCAAAATAAATACATATACCGATGTTTAAAACCATCTATAGAAGGGAATGTAGCGATAAGCATTTTTTCTTGTTTGCTCTTTTATCTCACTTTCCTATCCCTAAACAATCCAAGCAGATGTTTTTAACCCAGGTAGATAATGCACCTGTAGGGTGTCAGTGGGATCAATATGCATTTTCTGCCAGAAGGAATGAGTAATTATTCATTATTGGTCAAAGGGTTGGATACTAATATGTGTTGATACGGCCCTCATTTCAACTCCTTTTTGCTCTGAGTTCAGTTAAAAAGAAGCCAGCAAACAAGTGTCTCAAATTCAACTATGGTGACCAGTAAACGTAAAACGTTCTCCATTGATGATAAAATGGGCATTATCAGAAAAATTAAAATTGGATGCAATCAAGTTGATACTTGCAGGGAATATAAACTATCCAAATCTGCAGTTTGTAACATATGGAAAAATAGGCAATTAATAATTTCTGCTTGTGAAAAAAAATTTAGATGGCATAAGAAAGTTGAGAAAAGCAGATCACAAGGATGTTAAAGAAGCATTACTGAAGTGGTTCACCATTCGAAGAAGCCGCAATCTTTTTTTTTACAGTATTTGGACAAATGTTGATGAATTTGCTAAGCGATTTTATGAGACTTCTTTTATGTGCTCGAATGGCAGGTTAGACAAGTTTAAAAAGCAGAATAACAGAAATTCAGGAAAAATTACCTGAGAGTCGGGAAGAGTGTTTCCATATCTGATGTTGACGATTGCTCATCAGCTAAAAATTACTACATTTTTTTCTGCACATAAGACGAAGAGTAATGAAAAATAACACATTTTCTGCTACTACATAATATTTTTCAGTCATGTATTTGAATAATGTGTAATAAAAGGGAGGAGTTTGGGAACCATTAATTAAATTGCCTATGTAACGAATATAGTGAACTCCCGGTTATAGTGAACCAAAATTTCGGTCCCTTGAAGGTTCACTATAGCGGGGTTTGACTGTATTTATTTTGTTATATTTTACCTTGTATGTTTATTCCAACAGAGGCTGATAACTGCATCAGTGTGATATTTCCGTTTTATTTTCTGTAAGAATGAAGAAATTCAGAGCTGAGATAACTTTTTAAAAACAAATTATTACACAAAAAATGAAAGAAATGCAAAACATTTTCAAATAGATTAAGAAATTAAGTTTTGAAAGTAATGTTAGGAAAGCTGTAATTTTATTTCATGCTTATTTTTATTTTTAAAAAAATCCTTTGATATTATTAAAACTAAGTATTTAAGTTATTAATGTATTTTCATAAAATAAACAATCTCATCTGAAAAAACTGTAATACATTTCTGTTAATCAGTTGTAAATTTGCTCATAATAAACATTTCAAATGGAATATTGCTTCATATTTAAAATTATGAATATTAAATAAAACTTAGGATATAAGTTTATTAAAAAAACGTTTTTCTCAGAATTGAATGTCATTTTCAAAAATTCCTGGGTACGTCATTTGGTATTGAATTTCAGTTCAATATTATTTTAATATAAAATAAGAAAACGCTTTTACCTTGGAGGAAATGAGAGATCGAATTAAAAGCATTAAGCCAACAAATATGTGCCTAGTAAAAAGAGTACATGATTTCTTTAATTACATCAATATTTTTTGCACGAACTTTTTTCAAAGGAAAAATATGTGTTTTGCATGCAGTAAATTAGAACCAAACCAAATAATAGCAGTAAATAACAAATAAAATACAAAAATTGAAAATCAAACAATAAATAATGTTTTCCAAAAAAAGTTTTTAAAAAAATATTTTTTTTAACAACAAGGAAAAAAATTAAGATTACCATAGTTTAAATCACACCAAATCATAATACAGTCTACATTTGCCCCCAATAAGTGCAATCCTTCCATTATAATAATCGCTATTATTATATATTTATTGCTCCATGGATGTAATATTATTTTAACATTCTTTAGAACGCCTGAACTGTGCCGTTCATTCCAATATAGTGACTGAAATTTTCTTACAGTTTTTTAAATTTTATTCCCAGGAAAACACTACAAAAACACGTGTTAGAGATTTTTACGCTATCAAAACATGCATATTTTTATCAACAACGAGTCAATCGATTAACAAAAGTCTCGAGAAAACTCTTTAAACCACTATTTCTTTTGATGCTGCTGTCAATAAATATGAAACACCTTGAATTCTCTTTGAATGGAAAAAAGAATGACAGGACCACCTATTCCCAACCTAGGGGGTCCTAGGCATAATCTATGGTCAAAAGAATTGTGAAATATTGATTACCTGATAACCATAACTTTTCAAAACTTCTTTTCAAAGGTTTTTTCTTAAGAGCCGAAATTAAAATTTTTAAATGAAGTGGGTAGAAGAATAACGTCAAAATCTAAAATTGCTAAATTATTCAAGATCCCAATAACTATAATTGAAAATCGTAATATTATTCTAATAGAAGAAAAAAGTGTTCTAATTTCATGATTCTCGTGAAGTAAAAATCATAAATTCAGAAATTAAATTAGATATATACAAATTTGGATTTATTTGTTGAATTTTTGTTCATTAACTTCCACATCTTTTTATGTTAAATTAAATTCGCTATACAAAATTAGTATTATTTGAGAGACAATACCTCCATCTTATTTTCCTTCAGCTCTTTGCCTAAACAATAATCTGGTTCTAAAATCTCCACAACATCTAAGTCCCAAATTTTGATGACTGGTGTCATGTCAGCAACAGCAACATAGTTACCTAAAGTAATGAGTTATGGTAGTCAATACTTAATACAATGGACATGCCTTTTTAAATCAAATAAATAAATTAATTAATCAAATTAATAATTAATTATTAATAATAATTAATTATCAAATTAATAAATTAATTAATCAGTATTAGTTAAATAAAAAGTTTTGTTTTAATCATCTTTAAATCTAGATTTCAAAGACCACTGAGCTAGAAATGAACAAAATATGTATTATCTAATACAATTCACTATATAAGAAAATGAGAAAATAAACTTTTGAATTACTGAAATAATCATAAAATGTAAAATTTAAAATAAAACAAAGCTAATAGAAACTGATTTTATAGGTACTAACTTAATTTAACATAAGAAAGGAGATTTTACAACAAGGAGTTATAAAATAGATTTAGAATTTCAAAACATTTTAATGTTAGTTTACTTCAGTGCAATATGGGTTTTACTTTTAGCTTTGGGCTTTTACTATGGGCTATGACTTTTATAGTGGAAATTATATATTTAAGAAACTCTTTGACAAAAAGTTCACTCATTACAAAGTAACAATGCAGGAAATTATATTTGATGCAAATATACATGGTAGAGGAAAAGGAAAAAAAATGGACAAAAGATCACACAAGTGTGGAAGAATACAAAGAACATAAACCTCCTGAGGTGCATTACACGCAATTATTTGTTTAAAAAGATATTAAAAAGTGGTTTTAAAGATTTCCAGTGTTGATTTATTTAGAAATTTGTCACAGCAAGATCTGGAAAAATTTTACGTTTGGTGATTTGGATAGATTTTGGAAACTACAGGTAAATTTTTGGGTCCTTTTTTTTTAAACGTGGGTCATAATTAAAAACAGTATAAATACCCATCTTAAAGTTACACATTAAGGGTAAATATTATTTGTTTTAAATTTCTAAGGATATTTTTACTCAAAGCTAAAGTTTAAAATCTTTTAAATACAATGTCTAAAATATAAAGTTTTATGTGAAATAAAATAAATTTATAATTTAAAATATGTTTTAAAAATCCAAACATAGAAGGAAAAGAAGTCTGAGATTTCCTTAAAAAAAAAAAAAGAAAGAAAGAAAGAAAGAAATGATCTGCGAAAGTTAGCAGACAATAAATTCTCTATCCATCTAATATTAATAATAAGCACATTTATAGGTACTCCATCCTTCGATAAATGAAACAACAAAAGACCAATTTGTTGCATTTATATATGTTAGTGAACTTCAAAATGTTTAAAAAAATTGCTGATCTCGCTCACGAGACTGGTGAGTAGCTTTCTGTTGTCCATGATGGTTTGGTTGCAAAAGTGATGGTTCACAATAAGGTTGCTTTATGATAAGTGTTTATACAGATAAAAATATTTTGCATAAGATTGATGACTGAGAATCAACGGAGAATAAAAAAAAGGGACGTTCAACAGTGGCTGTTTTTGCTGCCAGTTTTACTTTTCTTTGAAGAGGGTATGGACGAGTTGATTTCCCATAATGGCAAATCTGAACAATGTTGTAGAAAACTAGTTTCAGAAATGCTCCGCCTTTTATAGGATTTTTTCCAAAACAGGACTTACTTTCCAGACACACCACAACTTATATTTTTTTCTTTTAGAAATTTCATTAACTTTGTGCTTAAACTAGAAAACTTCTGAGCTGGCCTTTTTTTTTTTCTGCTCAGGAAAATTATGTATCTCAGGAGACAAGAGTTTAATTTTTGCATCCTGCTTTAGATTTTAGACGTATTTGATGAGCTATAGCAGCGGTTTCGAACTGGCGGCCCAGGGGCCGCGAAGCCTTTTTTTGCGGCCAGCGAACTAAACGTTAATAAAAACCTAATTTCTTCGTTTCTGTGAAATTTATCATACCGACGATGCAAAAAATTTATTTCTCGGGTTTTGCATCCAAGAAAATATTTATTCAAACACAAAAATAATAGTGTATGTTGCGCTTTTTTATTACATTTTTTTTTGTATTTTGTGAATACAATTTAGCATGTGTGTATCAGAAATTTTCTTGAAAAAATTCTTAGATTTAACTTTTTGAAACCACTTTATTTGGACGAAAATATTTACACACACATTTGTAAGTTTGAAATTTAAAATGTAAATACCGTATTTTTCGTCGCAAGCGCCGCACATCGATAAAATTGAAATTTTTAAAAAAAAAGTTATTGTAAGCGCCGCAATGGCGCTAAACCGGGCATATCAGCATCCTTTTAGAAGAGACCTTTAAATTACCATTTAGAATATCTGTATAATAAAAAATTAAATTTTTTTATGCATTTCATAAAGTAAAGTTTTAATTTCTAAATTATAATAAAAAATTTCTTTTTCAGCAAAAAAAAAAAAAAAAAAGAAAACAACAAAACGATATAAAATAAAGTTGTTCTTACCAGTTGGCACCGCGCCAAAGAACAGAAGAACAGCAAAAAAATTATTTATATGTGCAGTAGCTACGCTGAACTGATTACAGAAATCAGTAAAACAATGTAATAAGAAAAGTAAAATAAAAATTTATTATATGAAAAATTTTAAAATAAAAAGATTTTAAAATTTATTACCGTTAACAATTTGAGGAAAAACTAATACATAATAACGAAACAGCTAATAATAACGAAATAACTAACAATAACAAGAATAATAAATAACTAAACAAGCCCCAAAAAAATTCTGAAGGAATGAGAGAAGAGGAAATAAGTTTCACTTTCACAATCTTAGGGGGTGGAATTTTAGTGGGTAGAATGCCCTCTCCTTCAATGGAAATAACCCAATGTGACTCAACTAGAAAGAGAAGAAAATGTTTAAAAGAGGGGTGTACCCCACCTCCTCCACGTGTCATTTCTACTGGAGCTGATTAGGAGAAATCAATCAGTTATATTTTAAAGGGGTTGGGGAAAAGAAAAGGGTATGGGACCCCTAATCCAGCATTCCAAAATTCAGCACTTAATCTGATCTAATTTTTTTTTCTTTTTTTTTTAAGAAATTTATATTGATAAGATAAAAAAAAAATCAGCTATATTCTTTTTATTTGGAATTTTATTCTGTTGAAGTAACTTACTTTATTTTATCTTTTAAAAATAAAAAAGAAGCTTGAAAAAAAAAATCTGTGTCAAAGGAAACATCTGTTTCTTAAGCAGTTTAAAATAAATTGAGAAGTAAAAACATCTGCATTTCCAATGAACAAAATAAAGAAATGCAAGTTGGAAAAAACTGATCAATCAATCTTGACAGCTAGGCTTGCACTTTACTGATTCGCCCCCAATTCTCCCTCCTCTGTTTGACCATAAATTGGCCACACCCAGTTGACATTGAAACTACCATGTAGACAACAAAATGAATTCTATCCCTTTTGCGGTTTTTTATTCGATTTATTAATTTTTTATTTTGCCGCTTTTTATTAGTTATTAACTGCTAATTTGTTGGTTTTTTTTTCTTTGTAAATAGTGAGCTTGTTTTTTTTCTTGCTAATAGTTGTTTGCTTGTTTCTTTTTTTTTAACGTTATTAGTTTTTCGCTTGTTTTTTGTTGTTATTCATTGTTAGTTTCTTAGCAATAATTGTTAAATTTTTTTTCTTTTTTTGTAGTTCCTTGTTAGCTTTTTTTTATTTTTTTTTTCTTGCGAGGTAAGCGTCTTTTGTTAAAACAAAATGTTATCTAAAAGAAAAAACGAGAACTATGATCTCGCTCCAAAGAAGAAACGATTATTTCTTCTTCATAGGATTCGAAATATTTCTTCTTGATTATATTATATAGATTATTATTTTGATTAGTAAAATTTCTTTAGATGGGCCAGTTTTAAATTCACCCCATCATAATCTACGATCGAAACTTGACTAAATTTATCGGTTTTTCTGAAATTAACAATGGAATTGAATTATAGTAATATTAGGGGCCCATATTGGAATTTCCGAAAGAGATCCAAAAATCGGCATTTCGTCAGTCCCGTGAGTGTCGGATTTAGGGTCCTATTACTTCCTTTTCTGTTCGCTCAAATTACAATTGCCGATGTTCTGCAGCAGATCGCGATACGGGCGAATATTTCGTCGACTTCGTTATTAATTTTTTTTTTAATAGTCTTTCTCTCAGAAAATTATTTCATCTTAAATAACTTTCCTTGAAAAATTTTTTTGCTACTAAAAAATATTTCGTCGTAAGCGCCGCTGCATCGGAAGCGCCGCATGTAGGAAAAAAACAACTTTTTTTTCGAAAGCGCCGCGGCGCTTCCGCCGAAAAATACGGTATCTATTCTCTGGTGATTGCTGCAGACAAACCTCAATTTTGTCATTGAACATTTTGTGCGCTACTATATAAGTTTTAATACCAACCTTTTCAAAGCTTTATATCTTAACAATTAGATATCTGTTGCACATTAATTGTTTAATACATAGGTTCACATTAAAGTAATTGTAGCCCGATTTTTTAAATATGCAATTAAATATTTTTAAAAATCTGCTTCTTACTTAATTTGTAATTCAATGCTTTTGTTTTGTACAACTTGGTAAAATTCTGACAGTAATATTTAATGCGCCTTCAAACATAAAAGTGTCCTACATAAAATTTTGATAAAGTAGCGGCCCGCCATTTGATTTGTGTTTTTAATTGTGGCCCCCGGCCTCATGTTAGTTGGAAACTCCTGAGCTATAGCAAGGAAGCAGAATCACTGTACACTACACTAAAACTACATAAACCTTACTCTTACTGTATTTATAAACCATATTTAAATTTTGTAAACTGCAATAGTTTTTAACTAAGTGTAAGAGCTCAGTAATAACTGTATAAATGATATGTGCAATCGCAATAAAAATAATTTTGCATCAAACATAAGGCTGGAATAATTAAAATATAATAATTATGTAGACTTAAAAAAAAGACTGAAAAATATGAGAAATCATACCTTTTTCTTCATCTGATGGACTGAAATCTAACCATTCTAAGGCCAATGGATAAGCTGGCAAAACAATATCATGATGAACATAGAACGCATCTTCCTCTTTATTATACACTAAAAAAGTTTTTAAAACGTGAAATGCGGAAATAAATTTCTTTGAGCTAAACCTAATTTAATACAACGAAATAAAAAATGCATCGAAGCACTACATGGATTTACGATACTATCGCTGTAAATTGAATGTGAAAAAAAGGGATTATTTAAATGCATAATTCAAAATTTTAACGTGTAAATTTCTGCAGAAAAGAAAACCAAAATTTTGTTTCCCCCCCAAAAAAATCTTTCTGCAAGAACTCTGCAATGCTCTGCGACAATCTGCCATGTCAACGCGATTCTGCCACACGGTAATAAAAAGGTATCCTATTAATAAATATCATGTAAGCGTTTCATTTCTATTATTAACTCAACATTACAAGAATAGCATTACTATTTTTACATTAAAGTACGATTTTTGTTATTCAAAAGAACAAAAATTATATTAGATTTCTGTTCTTGCAGAGAGTTTCTGCCTTTTCAAAGAGAAAAAAGGTAAAAATGACATTTTTTTTATAAATAAAAAAATGGATATTTCTTATTTAAATAGGATTTTTATGATTTTTTTTAAAATCCGCCATTCAAAGCTGAGATAAATAGCATTAGCAACATTATAATATGATTAAAATATAAATATATTTAATAAAGATTATTTACTCATTAAAAACTAATTATTGGAAAAATTATTACACAGTTATTTTTATTCAAGCTCAACAACTTCATGAATTAATAAGGCAGAAAGAAAAATTCGTCCATTATAGATATCAAATGAAGAAAAAATTAATTTAGACGAGAAAACATTTAAAAAAATCAATCAATTACAAGTCTATCTCTATTTATGTACAATAAATACACTTTTTGAAAATTTTTTTAAAAGGACTTGTATTTTAATAAACAAAAACTAATTAAAAAATGATTATTAAACAACAAATATTTCACATACAACAAATGAAAAATGCTATTTTTATTCACACTAAATCTTTCTCTTTTATTTACTAGATTAGTTTTGAAAATCAAATAATTTATAGATAACCTCCTCTCTTAACTTCCTTGAATAAAGCCTTCATTATCACTAAAATCATACATAAGGGGAAGAAGAAAAAAAGAAACTTTCAGCAATAAATTATGCTGCATAAAAAAACTAACTTAAATCAGTGGTTAAAAAAAATCAAGTGATTTAAATCTTGCCAATTCTATTATTCGCATTTGAAATTATTTTGCAGGAATTTTTATAGCCTCATGGAATTACATTACACGAAGACAGCTTTTATATGATGACTGACATTTTGGTACAATAAATGAAGTAACACCAAAAGTCAATAAATTAAGTAACATAAAATATACCTTTAGTCTTCAATATGTTTAACAGCAAATAAAATATTTTCTTTTCAGATTAAAACAAAAATGTACACGTTTCTAGAAAAGTATAAATAGTAAAAATCAGATAATAAAGTACCATGAACTTCTAGAACAGAGCTTTCCTCTTCAATGTGTCCAACAAGGAGCAAATTATCACTGTCTTTTATAATGAAATCCTCTTCATCATCATTTTCATCTTCTTTAACCTTAATAATAAATATAGATAAATTTTCATGTTTGCAATTAAAATGCAACACAAAAACACATGAAAAAAAGATATACTTAATAATTAAACATGCTAGAAGGAGAAAAAACACCAAGTGTAACACTTCAATTGTTCATAGATTTTTATCAATTTTACTTTTATTTCAATTTTTATAAAATTTTAACATATTTATCATGAAAAATATATGATCTTAATATTCTATTTCCTACAAATTTAACAGAGACATTCTACAAATAGTCAAATTTTTTAATTTAAATTATTTTGTATTTCACATTAAAATTCTTTTTATTATTTTGCAATTACATTGCAAAATAATAAAAAGAATTCACGTTGCAATTTAACAACTCACAGCATCATGATCTGTTATATAAGTGTCTTCTTTGTTGTCAATAAATGTCGCAACATCAGAAATATTCATAAATGGCTGATCTTCTCCTGAAACAATAACAAAGTAGCTTCTTAAGTTTCAACATAAGTTTTAGAGCTTGTACAACAAATAATTAACATCTGTGTTCCTACATTACATTTGAATCTCAATTATCTGACACCATTATGACCAGAGATATGCCAGCAAATTAAAAGAACTATTTTTTGATCAAATTTCTAAGCTTACAAATTTTAAATTATGACGGACAACTAATTTCGATAAAAGAAAAGCTTTCAATTTCCGATCATCAAAATCTCTAAGTCTTTCAAGTAAAACTCATCAATATCTTAATATGCAGACAAATTTACATTGCCATGTTCTCATCATTTTTTTTTCTTTTAATTTAAAAATATTCAGTCATAACATCTGTCATGAATACAAATAATAGAAGAAAAGATTTATAAATTAATTACATAAGTACAGTATAATAATATTACTATAAGTTTATCTTTAATAGTTTAACATTAAAGAGCAAAGCTCATTTGGGGGAAAAAAGCTTATTCCTCACCAATTGTTTATTTATTTAATGCTAATTGATTATTATTTTCAATTGCAATTTAGCCCTTTAATGGTCACATGATTTTAAAGAAAACGGTCTTAAAAGTGTCTATATTTTATATTCAGACATTTATAAAAAACTAAGTCAGGGTACCTATTCTGTTATCAAAGCAAAAATGAATGACTTTTAAAGATTTAAAAATAATAATAATAATGATCTTAAAAATAGTATAATTTTTAATCATCAAATATACATATAATCAGTGACAGTATTACTTACCTTACTAATAAAAATAATAAAATTATCTTTACTATATTACAAGTATTAAATAAACAATTGTAATTATAACAGAACTGCGTCTACTTTTTAGCACAATTGGGAATTTTAAAAAAAAATTTGCTACATTTTAAAAATTTACAATTATTTAACACACATTGAAATATCATACACACTTATTTATTTCTTCACTGTTTTTTTTTTTTTTTAAATAGTTTTTGCTACAGACTCCAGTTTTTAAAAAAAATTCTATTTCATCTTTTCTTAAGGCATTTAATTTGAAAAAGAATGGAAGGTTTTTTTCCTCCAATTCATCAGTAAAAGTAGCAAAAGACATATGCATAATTTTTACACCCTCTTCACAGCATTTTCTTTTAGCTTGGAGGAAAATAAATTTTCTCAACCAATTGTTTTCTTTTATTACTTGACTGTTCTTTCATTTTTCCTTCATCTGACATTAAAGAAAATCTAAATATATTTGTCGTGCACATTGAACTGAATGTTTCATATCCTTGGTGTTACTCACTGTTGTCAAATACACCCTCTACCTTCTTAATAGCTTCCATAATAAGTTTTTGAGCAATGTAGTTTTCGTTAAAATTTTCTATTTCCAGAGCTTTATTTGTAGAAAACCCCACAGCAACCCAAAGCCCACAGCAACCTGGCCATGAGATATAATTAGCATGAATTTGACAATGCTCTAAGGTTTTCTCTATTTTTCTTTGTCGCCAGAAAAATATTGATAAAAAACATATCCAATCTTTGTTCTTTAGAGTAGAGGTTTTGAAATCAGAAAAGGAACATTTTACCATTTTGTTTCCATATTTAGAAATTAACTTCATTTACATACTTAGAAGGTTTTAGACTTTTATCCATTAAATATAATAAAATGCATTTAACCCACTGACGGTTCTGCACGTAAAAAGTCGCATTTTAACCTGCAGTCTTCTCTGCATAGCAAAACCGGTTTTCCCATGTTAACTGATAGGGGAACTGTGTGTAGGGGAGAAACATTCTCCCAATTTTGCCCATTTCCACCGCCAGTGGGTTAAGGGATTTTTGATATTTCACTGTTTGAAATGCTATTTTGTTTTGGTCAAAAAGCAAGGGGCATTTTTAACAATAGAATATGAAATTGGACACTTTTCCATTAATGACTGCAACATTCTTAAAATAGACCATTAACAGTCCCTTTTTATGTCTAACACATCTTTGTAAAATGTCTCTCTCCCTTTTTTAATTATTCATTTATTTTTTCTTGCTTTTTCTTCAATACATTGGTTGCAAGTTAAGTCAATGGAAATCTAGTGATACTGAGAATTAAGGATTTTTAAAAACCTTGGGCCAAAATAAAGTATTTTTAAGGGCTCTTAATTATCAAAATAAAAACTAAGCAGTTCACCTCAAGGACTTTGAAGGGAATGGTTATCAAGGACTCTGAAGGGAATGCAGAACTGACGAACAGTGGAAATTTTGTAAGTGTATGTACATGTTTGATAAATGACTGAATCTAGTTTAAAATATACTGACTATTTCTAAATACATTACAAATAGTCTAGTATGGCCACCTGGCACATAGATTAAGAAACAAACATAATTTTAAACATAAGAAATAGATTGTTTTATTCTTTTTGGTGCGTTACTTTTGAATAGTTCAGTCCAAAAAAAAAAAAAAATCACAAGTACAAGAGATAGAGGGCAAAACTTTGCCCCTTCATTTCGATGGGAGCGAGAAGGAAGGGGTCAAATACCAAAAAAGTAAGAAATAGAAGACATTTTAAATAATGATGAAAATTAAGTACTTATATAATTATAAGTAAAACAAATATGTTAAACCAATATCTTTTGTTTAGAAAATTATCAACAATCGAAGAAAGAGACAAAGAGTAATAACAAATATATATACTTCTGTCTTCTGAACTAAGATGTGAATTGAATAAAATATTTATTCATATAAAATTTAATATAAAAAATTAATATTATGCCATAATTTTTTCAACAGTTAAAAATTTTTTTTTAATAAAATTTAAAAACAATAATCCTAATATATTAAATACATTTATTTATACCATCATTATCATATGAATCTAAATTATATCTTTTGTCAAAGTCCTCCTCTTTTTCAACTACGTCCTCTTCATCATTTAAAGTCTCAGTTTCTTCAGCAATGTCTTCATGTTCATCACAAGTAGCATCAGACTCAGAAGCATCATCATCTTCAACTTTTCTAGATATAATATTAATAGTACAAAATGAATAAATTAGACTATGATAACTAAGCTATTTAAAGTAACAATTACACAAACTATGAAAGAAATTGACAGAAAATAAACAACTATGTTGCATTAAATAAAATTATGATTTAAAGTTTATTTTGAGTGTAGCATGGCATTTTATTTCAAAATGTTACCCAGCTCGATATAGGATTCCTAATCAATTTCTAGAAGAAAAAAAATCTATGAGTTTTTCTAAGTTCTCAAACATACAAGAGTCTTAGTTCCTAGATATTCTTTGTTTTTAACAAATATACAGAGCAACACCACAAATTAAAATGAGGGGTAATACAGCAAGCTTTTACTGAATTACTTATAGATGACCAACATAGCATGAAAAGAAAAACAATACTATTCCCTTTTGGGGGCCATGAAAAACCTAATACCACAGTAACTATATTAGCATCCTATTACATAACAATGCCAAAAGTATCTATTACCACAAATAACTAAGCAACAATGGTTCCATAATAGCCTGTTGAATTTTCAACTGCTCCCAAAAAATAGTATCACAATAACTAAATTCTGGGAACGAAAGGTAAACATGAAAATTTTCAGTGTATCTTCTTGCCAATAATGAGTTAGCAAAACAAAAAATAAAAAACTTTTTTTTTCTTCAAATGAAGATTGCTACATCATCTATAGCATCATAAAAATTGCAATCTTATAGGAAAAAGTGACTGCTTGTCTCATTGCCAGTAAACAGTTGGAAAATTGTATAGTCCTTTTTAATGCTTGTATAAACTTTTTTTTTTAAATAAACCTATCTATCAAAAATATTAACGCTTAAAAGGTTACTATCAAGTTAAAATTATATAATTTAGTTGTAACAATCTTTTTTATTGATATTTTAAATATAATTTGGTGCAAGAATTTTTTTCTTCTTTTTTGTACTAAGTTAATGTATAAGTACTGATTTAAATTTTACTTAATACTATTCATGAGGTATTTCTATACTTTTAAAATCAACAGTTTATGAAATATGATTCATAAATTGCATTAAGGGAATTAAAATTAGGGCATAATATAAATTAGATTGCTACTTTTAATCTGCTAATTTAATGACATTTTAAACATTGAATTATATCTTAAACAGGACCATTTGTTTTTTACTATATATATTGTTGAAAATAAGGTTCAAAATTATACAAAGCGATAAATTTGGTATGGATTAATGACAAAATTGTTGTTAATCAAGCGAGTCAAGAAGTGATAACTTGAGAATTTATACTTTATTATCTGGAGAAATTGAAAGCCTAATCACCAAATATCAACACTACTTCAGTTTACAGTTCTCTAACTGGTTTTCTTTTAGTGCAGCAAAGGACACGGTTTACCTATGAATGCCTGCTTTTCCCTGCCATAAACAGAGGTAATAAATGTATAAACTNGAAAATTTATCGAATTTTGTTCCGGTTTTTTGGTTTTCTGATTTCCGGATAACGGGTACTGTACTGTATTTCTTTAATTATAATGCATTTTTAACATAATCTAATTTCTAAACCATTGAATATTTGTGCTGCATCATCATACGGAAAATGTTCTATATCTACCCTTTCATTAGCTATTCTCATTAGGTTGCTCAAATGCTCATCAGTCAATCTGTTACGATATTTTGTTTTAATTCGGTTATGGGTGCTAAATGACCTTGCAACAGATGCTGAACTATTCGAAATCACTATAATTAAATTTGTAGCATTGTGCACACACTTTCCTATCCTCTACATTGGCCAGCATATGCTTTTCAATTATTTCTGTTATAGAGTAGTGAAGTTCGTTGAAGTTATTTCCCTGTTTCTTGTTAAGCCTTCCAGCAGCTTTCACAGTCTTCAATTTTTACAAATTGCTGTAAATTGTCGATGAGGGAGTTGGGTAATTCATTAACAGCTAAAAATAGAGCTAACTTTAAACAACTTATTATAAAAGACTCAGTTTTTTCCCCAGTTCTCTTCATGTCTTTTTTAAAATGGCGGAAGACAAAATTTTTTCCAAAATTCGAAAGATTCGTGTATTTTAAAATTGATTAATAGAGTGTGTGAACTTCTCACATTAATAATTTTTTAATGCGAGAAAAGAAAAAAATATGCGAGCGTTCTCGCGCTGTAGTGAAAACACTGCTGGAAAAATTGAAAGCCCAACAACCAAATATCAACACTATTTCAGTTTACAGTCCTCTAACTGGTTTTTTTTTAGTGCAGCAAAGGATACAGTTTACCTATGAATACATGCTATAAACAGAGGTAATACATAAACTGTAATTGTCAAACCTGTCAAACAATTTTTTTTTACCAATTATAAAATTTAGGTAGGCAGGTACTTTATTTACGTCACACTACAGATGTACAATGGGCTATTGGTGAAGGTGCGGAAACATCCCTGGGGATGATCCAAAGACACACCATCGCACTTTTTGGTCATTTCCTCTATTTAGATATTGATCTGAAGCAGAATAATTTACATGAACTGAAACTACTTTGTTTCTCTCTTATAGATATAAAATATACTAATAGAAATATATACATATATATTATAAATATAAATTCTTATAGTAATAGAATTATTTGTTGACAAAACGTTAATTAAGTATATACCTCTGCAGTTCTTTAGTATCACTTATAAGACTTTTCAGTTCTTCAGGAGACAATTGAAGCTAGAATAGAAGAAAATAATTTTAAAAAAATAATAATAATTGACGTTCTTAAAACTGAAACATTTCAAAAAAGTTAGGAAAACCAACCTTATCTGGAACTGACTTAGCAATTCCCTTTGCAACCCAGGTCAAACAAGGAACGAAATTCATTGCGATAAAAATTTTGTAAATTTATAGTTTTAATAACAAAATGTAAATATTTTTTTAATTATTTACAAGGGAAATAAGTCATTATTATCAAATAGGTCCATGTGACAATCGAACAAACAGGCTGAGAAAATCAAACATAAATAAAACATCAATTCATCAATTGAATTTTGAAATGAAAAGCCTGCTTCCAACAATAAGGCTGCATTGTTTATTTTCCTTTAAACAATATCGTATTAAACTTACTTTCTTCGCAACTAACTCGTTATTGAAATAATTTTACCTTTTATTTTTTCTGAGGGAGAAAGAAAAGTAGCAAAATATCGACAAAATAATTTCAGATAATTTAGTGGAATTTGAAATAACGTCTTCAAACTAGTAGAAAGCAGCAGTCGGAAGCGGCTGCAAGTTCCTATTTAGGCAAGAAAATGTGTAATCGCCGCAATGTTTATAATGTTTATATCATTTTTGTGTGAAATAAAAAAATCGAGCTTTGATTTTGAGCTGCAATTCATAAAATATCGTAAAGATGTCATTTCGTTGTTCACCATTGAAAGTTATCACTATTAATGGTTTTGGTTTAGTACTTTCTATAGGAAATATAAAATTAAAATATTTGCAATAAATTGTTTGTTCGTAAAGACTCTTGAATTCTGACTTAATAAAATGAATTTTAGAAGCAAAGCATTTAAATTAATGCTGAATGTATTAAGGCATAATAGTTCTCAATCTCGAAACTTGCCGATCGTCAAAGTTTTATGCTTAGACGATGACAGCAATATTAAAGTTTCGTTTAAATTGCCGCGATCTTCATATCTGAATGTAAAAGCACCGAAAGAAGAATGTTGTCAAAGCATTCTGTCTCGAATAAAACTGATGGTGAACTTACAGCGTAAGAAAGAAGAAATGCGGCAAGTTGTTATGAACAAATATTCAAATGTTCAAGTTGCTGTTGAGGAAGCAGAAGAGGACTTTGATGTAAATTTGATTCAAAATAATAAATTTATGGATGAAAAAACATTAAACATGGAAGCTTGGGCTCAGGCCACACAACTGAAGATAGGTGAACTTAGTTTTGATGTAAAATTTAATTTCCCATCTGTTATCAGTTTGAATCTACCTGAATACATATTATCTGGGTGTAGTATAAGACCTAGGTTTAGATTGGAGTGTGCAAATTTAGAGGACTGTTGTTTTATTTGGTATCGCTCTCAATCTAAAGACAAATTCAATGACCTATTAAATATCCATGGCTCAGGTGATTTAATTATAGAAGAAGATCGAATTTGGTTAAAAGTTAGTGAGGGATTTATTTATACAACTTGTTCAGATGACATAGGTTGTTTCTTGAAAGTCGTGTGCATTCCTCGAAGGGGTAAATATGTGGGTCAAGATTTCTCTACTGCATCAGTAAGTGAAGTTCAGGCTGTTCCTGAAAAATTACCCTTTGAGAAAAGGCAAAAATTTACACCAAATCTAACTGAAGATGATAGGTAAGAATACTAAATAAAAGTGTTAGGGTTATAATTTGTTTTTGGAAAAAAGGTATTTTCCTATTAGAAGGGGCAGTAAAAAATATATTACCATAATATCAGTTTGGTACTTATTACCACAACATCTATTTTTTTAAACATATTACCAGAAATACCATTACTACAATTAATTAGGAAACTCTGGTATCAATTGTGAAACTAATTACAAGAATTAATAATTTCGTGCACATTTAATTGGGATTTTGTGTTTGCAGAAAGTTTTCCATTTTATCTAAGTCTTATTACTGATAAAGCTTTTTTAGTGAAAATAAAGATGTGAAATATATTACACAAAACTTGTCCTGAAGATATTCATTATTGAGTGAATGAGATTTATTGTTTCAGCCACAATGAAATATTTTAATAATTAGATTCATTACATGTATATGATGTTTTAATCACTAAACTTGATGTGACACTCAAACTATAAAGTTTTAGCAAAGTTCTGTTACCTTTAGGCAATCTTGTATTATGAAAAAAACTATACAAATAATCCTTTTAGTAAAAATTAAATAAATAAAATACGCAGATTTGTATACAGAGTGAGCCTGATCAAGAAGGCAAAGCTTTACTGGGTGGTAGAACGCATCTACCAGAGTAATATTCAACGTAAAATGTATAATTGGAACACAAGCAGTTAGAATTTAAAAGGTAGTTTCCGCTATCACATTTAAAAAATTACACAAGAAGGGGAAAAGATGCTTTAAAAAAGTTTTTATTCACAAGAATATGATTAATTGATATGATAGGAACCACATTCACATCCTCAAGTTGATGAGGGTTAGAATCGGCAGCAACTGCTCAGACAACACCTCTCATATGAAAGTGTGATACAATTCTGCTTCAAGGCAGTGTGGTAAGAGATATGGGTCAATCAAATGGTCATGATAGATCCCTGCCCAAATATGTACAGAAAACTGCTGCTGGTAAGGATCTACCAAGTGCACCTTTTTATGATATGTGTAACCAGCCATCATCTGAGCAATCCATGTTAGATATGCCTGTTGTGAGAACTGGCCTTCTTATACCATTTACAATGCCACTACTTTCTATGATGAATATTGCTCGTGTAAACGCGTTCTATCACTCAGTAAAGTTTTGCTATCTTGTTCAAACGTATGTACAGAGTTATAAATTAATTAAATTCTGTCACTAGTCCGTTCACATGTTGCAACCTCGGTTAAGTGGGATTGAATATTTATATTGAAACTTCAGTTCTTTCTAAAGAAAACATTTTCCATTTACTGGAAGGGTACACCATAAATTGTTTTTAGAATAATTGAGACTATATAGAAATAATTAATTAATCTATAATAGTTATTTATTTAAACTTAACAGAATTATAATTTTTACAATTAAAAAAATAGATAAAGAAATTTAATATCCTACGCTTTTGTTTGATGTTTATCCAGTTATAAAGAAAGATGTGATAGAAGTTTCTTTTAAACAACCATAAATAAACTATAATAAAATACATAAATTTCAGCTAATAGATGACTGTCCGCTTCCGATTACAGGAAACTCTGCTTTTCGGAGAGGGTGGTTCATTCATATAAAATTCATGGTGAATTTAAAAAAATTTCCTTTTTACCATAGTGTCTGTAACATAAGGGGTAACTGTTTTTCTTTTAGAAAAAAATTAAAGTGAATTTAAATATAAAATTACAATACAAAGAATTTGTTTTTTTGGTCAGACCAAGGCGAAAACAGCATATTATCCCATTATATTGGCTACTGAATACTGATCAGGGTTGGCAAAATTCATGATTTTTTTTAAAAACAATTTTTTTAAAAATTAGATTTATTTGATTAAGATCAGATTTTTTTTTAAAATTTAAATTTGATTGTTTGTGTTTTTTTATATTCATCAGCCAAATCATCTGCTAAAATGTGTTAACAATACTTAATATTGTTTAAAAACAATAATATTGCTAAAATAGTTTATATTTCTAACTAAAATGTTTCACAAATTATTTAATTCATTACAAATTAATCACAGCTATTTTTGCTCAAGCTGAACATCTTAAAGACTGGTAGACATTTTTTTAGTTAGAGTCCAATAAACTTTACAGGGAGTCCAATAGAGAGTAAATCATTTTATATCAGAATATATTATAGAAAAACATTGTTAGTTTTGCTGGGCCGAACATGTCTTTCTTAAATGTTGATTAACTCTAACTATGTCTTTAATGTTTAATCTTTGTCCATTCTAATTTCAGCATACGATGTGTGTCTTATAATACTTTAGCCAACACATATGTTGAGAAACGGAAATTTCCTTATTGCTCAGAAAAAGCCCGAAATAATTATTATAGGAAACAACTACTTCTAAAGGAACTAATTGGTATATTTCAGCTTATATTTTATTATGAGCTTTGTAAAAATATGAGTGTTTCAATAATTTTATTTTTCACAGGTTACAATAGTGATATCATATGTTTACAAGAAGTGGAAGAACGATTGTTTAGCTATGACATTTTTCCAGTTTTGGAAAGAGTTGGTTTTCATGGTTGCTATAAGAAAAAAGGAGGACGACGTTACGAAGGGCTAGCATCATTTTATCGGACAAGTAAATTTAAGTAATTATATTTTTTTTCTTAGTATATGCGAGACCTCCAACTACTTTGTAAATATAATAGGTGCCCCTTGGGTGTGTGATCCCCATTTAACGCAATTTTCCCCTCTCCATTACCATGGTATCAGCAAATCTCACTTTTCCCTCACACTCTGTAAATAAAATATGCTTTTTAAGGCTATGCAGTTTCTCCACTTTACCTCTCTCCGTTACCTTGGTATCCACAAATCACACTTTTTGCCCTCACCAGTATGTTATTAATATAATACATTTATAAATTATAGATATACTCCTTAATTGCCATGTGAATAAAAAGAGTAATGTTGCTGCCCCTCACGTCGTTACCAAGGTGATGAAGGTAAAAAATTTGACATTTAAGCATCAGTTTTAATTACATTACATTAATATTATCTTTTATAGCGTAGCAAAATAGCAAGTTTCAAGGAAAAATTCTGTAATTCAAAATATGTAATTTCCTCATAATAACATTCCTCTTTCCCTGATAGAACCTGTCCTGTTAGCAATTTTCCTCCTATTTATCCAATGATAAGGAATTTTTGATAGGGTTGCTAGGTTTATTGTTCTTTGTGTGAATAACTGGTTTACAAACAACAGTAGCTGAAACAAGAGCGGAAAAAGGAATTTTTACTGTTTTGTGATGCTGCCAAAAAAAAAAGAAGAGCAAAAGAGTTTCTTAGAGTTTAATCCACAGCAAAAGAGATTAGATAATTTTTTTTCAAAATATTTGCACCCAGAAAAAAAATTTAAAATTTGTGGGAGGTTATAAAAATTGTTCTTATCCTCTCTCATGGTAACGAAACAGCCAAAGAGGGGTTTTCAATCAATAAGAGCTTATTGGTTGAAAACATCAATGAAGACTCTATTATTTCACAAAGGCGTGTGTATGATTATGTTTCATTTATAAATGGAATAAAAAACATAGACATTAATGAAAAAATACTAGATGCTGTTAAAAGATCTAGAACAAGATGCAGACATGCATTAGAAGCCAAAAAGAAAAACAAAGAAAATAAAAAAAGCTGAAATTTCTAGAAAACTAATAAAAGAAAAGAATTTGAAATTAAGAAAATTTAAATTGACGAAAACTGCTGCAACAGAACTGGATGTTCTTAATTCAGAAATTGTCAAACAGCAAAATATGTTGAGAAATATTATATAACATAGCCCCTGAGTTTCTCCGAAAGCTTACAGTATTACAGAAATAAATTTAAAAATACTGGGGGGAAAACGATATTTTTGATTTTATTTTTCTCACAAGTTGCATAATTTTTCTATCTGAATTTTTATTTGTATATAATTAACTTTTCTTGTCTTCTTTCCGTTTTATATTTCAATATTATCTTTTAAAAGAAAAGTCTGTTAGAAGTGAATTGGTGATTTTTAAAAATTAATATCTTAATGTAAGAAATGTTTTAAGAGTAAATATTATTTGAGGATACTGGTACATATCTCGCAGATTTGATTAACCCTTTATATCCTGACGACACTCATGCATTTGGTTCCATTTAACATTAAATAAAATAATATTTCCATAATGCAACAGATTTTCTTGATCTTTTTATTTAAATAGTTTTCGTATCTAACTACAAAAACACACTAAAAGTTTAATCAATCATGATAATTAAAAATATGTTTCGCAAGTTTTCTGAAAATATAATTTGGGATATAAAGTGCTATTACGTAATTCCACTTTAATAAATGAGTGTTTATCCTATTCAATATATGATACTTATGACTAAGAACCATATTATTACTAATTGAAACTGCAATGTTAAAAGCTTTGTTGGAGTAGGAAACGGCAGGTCAGGAAAAAACCTGCAAAAGTCAGGTTTTTGTTTTCTTGAAATAGTGTAAGAACCCTGTTGGAGACGAATTCACCTTTATATCTAAATATTATCGATTTCAATAAGGCTTTTGATTCAATCGGGACATATTGTGGGAAATATTGAAAACTTACAAAATCCCATAAAAATGTTTTAATATCATTAAGAGAATTTATGATGGAAGTAAAGCACGCATTGAGGTGGATGGAATATTTACAGACTTCTTTGATGTTAAGACAAGGTTGTGTATTTATATATATATATATTCAATAAATATATATTCAATAAATAGCCTCAAATAAATAAATTTTAATTTTTGTTTGTTCTGACTTTGAAAGTTTTGATTTATCTCTAAATAAAGTTGATTTTGCATAGCTTGCTCAATATATTTTTTTTTCTCATTTGCTCACGCTTATTAGAATAATAATAGTACATAAATTATGATAACAGTGCGTAGAATAATGAAAATTATTAAAATAAATACCTTTACAATTCAAAAATGGTATGTTAATAAAATTTAGACGAAATTATTAATTTAGTTTTAAGAAATGTTTCGTATGAGTTGCATCCATTCTAACCTTTGTGGGATTGATTGTTTATTTAATTTAGGCTTATCAAGAGTTACGAAGTGCTATTGAATGAAATTATTTACAAGGACTTTTGTAAAGATTTAAGGACAAAAGTGAGTGGTAGTAACAGAGATGTCAGTGTTTTGCTGAAACAAGATTCTGCATTTCAGGTAATATTATTCCTTTTTCACCCTTTATTATTATTATTTTGTATTGTGATCATTACAAAAGCAAACATTCTATCAATTTCTTTCTTTGCAACTGTAAAAAAAAATTTAATTAATAACATAATTGTATAAGATTATTTTCTCAATTTGTTAACTTTTGCTTCCTTGGCAATATTTCTCATTAAAATATTTATTTTAATTATTTAATGGTATGTTTTACTTAAAATATTCTTCAGGAGTAGGAAAATATGCCTCATACTTTTCCACTTAAATTATATTTTTAAAAAAATGTAAGTAAAATTTCATTACTATCCTGTGTTTCACTTCCTAACTTTTTGAATAATTTACTTTAATTATGATAGCAATATAAATGTATGCATATTCTGATATACTATGAATGCCTACTTGAATATTTGTAACCAATAGTTTTAGAATAATTTGTATATTTTGTTCTACACATCACTTTGTATGTATCTCCAACTTTTGTGTTATTACTGTCATATGTACAAAAGTGAAATTAAAACTCTATAGATGGCTCTAACTGATTAAAATATAACTTCTAGATTACAAAGAATACTCTTCTCTTCAGAACAATAAAGTTTAATTGCAGTACCATTTCAACTTATGTATCAAAATATGGATAGTTTAGTTACTTTTCTGTCAAATTTCACTCAAAATGCAGTTTTATTTGACATTAACAATGTTAGTAAACAAAATACTTATATTTAAAACTTAAGAACAAATTTATGAATGCCATTAATATTATTGAAATTAAGTTTAAAAAAATCAACTTACAAGTTTTTAGATAGTTTTGAATTCATTGTGTTTTGTATTCCAACTATAGTTTGATTTAGAAAAATCAAAATATTAACTTTGTAAAGTAATATTTATCTATACAGTCGAACATGTTTATCTCGAATCTCACGGGAAAGGCGAAAAAATCGAGATTATACAGGTACAAGTTATACATGTACTTTAAAATTTTTTTATTTAATTAAGAAATTCTATTAAAAGTGCTTTAATTGTTTTCAGTAGAAAAATATAGACATTTCTTTAAACTAATTATACCACATACATCTATTCACATAACATTTTTTTAACATACATTTAACACTAAAAATAATTTTTCCAAGATTTTTGACGTATAACCTTATTTGTTTTGATTATTCTTTTGAGGTTAGAAAGATTGCAAATTCCTCATAGCCTACATTTTCCTGGGATTCATGAGTAGTTTATAAGAATTCTACAGCTTTTTCTACTTCTTTTGCATTCACTTTTGATTCATCAATATGATCTTCAGCTTCTTCCTCTTCATCTGATATTCCTTTAACATTATCTATGATTTTTTCATCTGTCAATGCCAGGCAGTTGTCCACTTATAAAAATCTTCAAAATTAAGGTCAATATTGAATCCAGATTTTATTGCATTCCATTCTGGCAAATCTGGCACTGCATTTTCAGCATTAACATTTTCTTCTTCTGTACTGATACCTTCAATCCCTTATTCATCATCCTCACAGCTATTCTTAAAAGCAGCTTTTTAAAACCATTTTGGATAGTTTTTAAAGACACAATTCTCCAGGCAAAACAGTAATTCTGATAGTGACTAACTTTTTTCATCGATGGCATCTATAAGTTTGCATACCAACTGTTTTCTATAGTTCACTTTAAAGCTCTTAATTATCCTTTGATCCATTGGTTGCAATTTTGAGGTCAAAGTAAATTTCTATTCTTAGCTTTCTTATCTATGTTGAAAAGCTAACCCCTGATGGTCACTACTCATTAACCCCTCACTTACTGCCAAAATCATTGTATTCCTTTCTAGTTAAGGAAGTGCAGGGATAATGATTGAAATTCCAAGAAACACCCCCAACCTGTTCATCCCTACTTCCTGTGGATTTACAAAATTCATCTCTGTCTGCGAGTTCTACTGATAAAGAATATTTTGACATTTGTGCTCTATTATTAGAAATTCGAGAAACGGAGGTTTTGAAGAGGAAAAAATTCGACATAAACATGGAAAATACATTGATTTTAGACAGTAAATGTAGGGAATTTTAGAAATTTTGAGATAAAGAGGTTTGAGATGTACAGGTGCAACTGTATATATTATCACAATAAAAACAAAAGGGATAAAGAAAGAAAAACAAAGAAAATTAATAAGTTTTATTGACTGCGCCTAAGCTGCAAGTATATAGAACTTATAAAATTGGTTAAAAATACAGAGAAAATAATAAAGATTATAATAAAGATTAATAAAAAGAATAAAGATTAATGAAAGGAAATAAAGAGTAATAAAAATAATAAAGATTAATAAGTAGAGAAAAAGAAAAATTATTAAAATAAAATATTTTTAAAAAATATATATTTAAAAAGTGGAAAACAAAATGATGATTATATCTTTTCATTATTTGGTTTTTCAGCTTTTTAATATATACATATATATAATGTTTTGTATCTTATTATTTTGTTACCACTTTATTTTATGATTATAAGCTGTTATATTGTAATAGTACATCATATATTTTAAATAAATTAGTGCGTACATAAACTTAAATAATATTTCAAAATACTCAGAGTGTGAATGGTTAAATTCTAATTTTAACAATATTAAATTCTAAATTTTGATTTTGTGTTAGTTTTCGTTTATAAAATTGTGAGTAAAAATAAGAATTTGGTTACCTTAGCAAAAAAAATAAAAAAAAAAATCTTAATGTTCCGTAGAAATTTGTTGCAACTTCAGTTTTACTTACTCATTGAAATTTCTAAAATTTAGAATATACATACANATATATATATATATATATAGTATTTGCAAATTTCTCTATTATGTGATTTTTTTCGAGGAAGCAAGAACATTTTGGAAATTTCTTCATAAAATAACTTTCCCTTTTTGTTTGCATTCCATACAGGAATCCATGCCAAAAATCAATTTATGAGAAAGCAAAACAGAAATTTCTAAGGCATGGAACTATTATGTTACAGATCGTACTATTCGTAACAGTTTTGCTAAAACTGGATTCTTAGTCAGCGTTAGGGACGAGGATGATATTCCTTTAAAAGAATTTTAAAAAATGTGGGTACAACTAAGAGAGTACCACGAAATTAACGATGATGTACTGATAAATGATTTTCTTTTTATTGATACTAAAACTGCAATCACAGAAACATTAACTGAATTGGATATTCTAGGCAATGTGAAATGGAAAAACAATACAACGATAAATTGTGAGGAAGATGAGGACAGAAATGATGAAGAAATCACCAAACCTTCATATGATGAAATGTTAAAATTAATTGAAACAATTTGATTTGGTTACATCATACTAATAAATAAATATACATTTAAAAAGTAACAACATTAAATGAAAAATAAGAGTTCAAATACTAATTTCCAAATATTTGGCGTCATATAGGTATACCTCTAACAGTGGCGGAATTGGCAAAATAGATATGAGGTGATAACAGTAAAATCTTTAACAATAATTTTTAGAAAAAAATATAATCAAGTTTATCACAAAAGATTCCTTGGAAAAATCTCAGAAGAAATATGAACAAAAAGTTCAGATACTCTTTCAATAGAACATAGCCAATTTAGCATGTGCTATATATTTTTATTTTCTTTTTTGTACCAAAAAATTCCTTACATGGTGTAAAATTTAATGAAGTTTGAGTTATTTATTTATCAATGTTTTCAGATTTTGGTTCTGCAGCTCAGAAAATTTCCCTTCTCTATGGTTATCGTTGCTAACACCCATCTCTATTCAAACAAAGACAGTCCTGAAGTTAGACTCATCCAAGCTGCTCTTTGCACTCAGTACATTGAAAATTTAATAAAAACTGAGGTAATTTTATATTTAATCAAATTTTAATTTTTTATGAATATCTCTATGGTATAATTGTCTTCCTTTCAAAACCTATATGCTATTGTCACCGAAAAACAAAATCGTACTCTAACTATTAAGCAATATTTTTAGTTGGTAACAGTCATACCTTGATAGTTGTGTCTCTTTGTTTTAGGATCTGAAATCTGCTGGTGTTTTATTTTGTGGAGATTTTAACAGTATGCCGAATTCTGAAACATATAATTTTATGACTTCGGGAAAGTGTTTTCCAAGTTGGAAAAATAGTAAGTGCTTTGAAATTGTTACTTAAAGTAGTCTTATCTCTCCTTGGCCTCAGACCATTTTTTTCTGGAATGGTTTCTCTCGGTCATCAGAATAAAATAATGAAAATAAATTCCTTAAGAATTTCATTAAAATTAGAGCAATCTATTTTGAAAGTGTTGCATAACGTTTTTACCAACATAGTGAAAAAATTAAAAATAAATAATCCACTTTTGAAGTATGCATTAAGTACAGAGTGCATTCAATAAGCATTGTAAGTTTTACTAAGGATTCAACAAACCATCACTCATATTCCTCTTGCTTGAGAAACTATTTGTCAATTCATTTTTTTCTTCTGAATTATTGTAATAGCTGGTTTATTTTAGAATTAAAACATGAAATATTCAAATTTTTTTAGATTGCATTCTCTTTTTTTTTAACCTTAACATATATTATTTAGGGAAAACAGCTGCTCTTAACTAATGTAACGCTGTATGCTTAGAACAGAAATTAAAGATTTTGAAGTAAATGAGTAGAAAAATAATATTTTTGAGAAAATGTGTACAGTATTTATGAAATATGAATAAATATTTTCTATACTTTTATGTACTCTACTAAACTCATGATAAAGGGACCTCATGTTACAATGCCTATATTTTTTTAGACTACAGGAGTCGTTATATCTAGCATCAACTGTAGTTTCTATAAATCCAGCTTTCTTAACATACTATGAATGTGTGAGGAGTTGCATGTCCCACTTCAAAAGGTTTACCTGAATGAAGGCACACTTTCACCTTGAGATTTTGAATAATATGTTTTTTAGCCAAAACATGGGGAAATAATATTACAAAATTTGGAAGTAGCCAATGAAGCTCAAAGTAAATATGGCTAACATATATTTCTGCCATTCTTTTTAAACATCCTGCTTCTGTTTTGAATTATTAAAATTAGAGCATTAATTTGTAAAAATTGCTCTTTACATGGTTTATTTTCGATTTTTTTCAATATAACCATATTTGCATTTCAATAATTAAGCTGATAATAATTTGTTTTTAATTGCTAAGCGTTTTATATAAATTCATTGTGGTCTTAACCACCTGTCCATTAAAAAAATGAAAGTTATACATGTGACTCTATTTATAAACTTTATTGCATTGATTTTTTAGATTCTTGTGCAATATATTACTTCGATTTATAATTTATATATGTACTCACTTATGAGCTAATCTATATGCTACATCTTTGTTCAAATTGTTAAACTTTCTATCAAACAATAAGTTTCATTGCTTATTATATAAAAAAGTATGCTTTTGGTAAAATATTGCCTTGGATATGGGTTGATAACGTAGAAAATATCTTTATTAGTGTACATATTAAGAATTGGAGTACAATTGCATCAAAAACAGATGCCTGGAGAGATCTCGTAAATAAGCTTTTGGCCCACACTGGTCTGTCAAGCCAGGAATGATTATGATTGCTGTGTATAATTTAAAAAAAAAAAATTATTATTTTCTGATGAAACCTGGAAATGTCAGGGAATTTTATTTCAGAAGTTGAGTTTGGACTCTGTTTTAATGTGTTCTTAACTAATGATTATTTTTGCTTTTAGATTCAAATATGAATGAAGAAGCTCCACTTACTCACGACTTAAATTTAGATAGTGCTTGTGGGACTCCAGATTATACAAATTATACAGAAGAATTCTATGGCTGTTTGGACTATATATTTTACTCTAAAAACAAATTAACAGTGTCTGAAGTTGTACCAATGCCTAGGCACGAAGATGTAATAGCACAAATTGGATTACCAAATGAATATTTTCCCTCTGATCATTTAGCACTTGTTTGTACTTTAAAATGGAATAATTTATAGTTATTAATAAATTTTTACTATTTGCCAATTGCTTTTTGAACATCTGCATAAAATCAAAATACAATTCAATGCTCACTATCTTGAAATACCTATTTTAGTTTTGCATAATGGCTTGTTATATTAATTTTATATTTTATAAAACTATTGTATAATTCAATGCAGCTTTTATTCATTTAAACCCTTATACTAATTAATAAAAGAAGTTTTGACAAGGGGACAATGAATTGTAGAATGTGAATTGTAGTGTTAATTATTATAAAACAATTTTTATCACAGAACAAAAACTATAACAAATAAATAAATGTTAAAAATGAGTATTCAAAAGAAATAACCTATGACAACTTTAGAACAAACTAAAGGAAAATATTTAGCTCTAATTTAGTATTGTTAAAAGGGAAACGTCTTATTTCTTTTTTAGCAATTCAAGTTTTTAAAAATTATCCTCCCTCATAATTTATATTAATCATTAATATTAAATCATGTTACAGAGAGTAGAATCTTTACTAAAATAATGCAGTATATATTCTATTCTTAATTTTAATTAAAAAAGATAAGTTATAATGTAAGTGTTTTTTTTTAAATTATTTAATTCGAAAATGCTAATTAGTTTTAAATTTTAAAACTACTTACAAAATATCTTGAGTATGCTTAGAAATAAAAATTTATTTTCACATTATGTAGATAAGTAGTTAGTGTAATTTTGATTGTAAAAATTTATCTGTAGTACAAAGAATTGTATTACGTGTATATTAAAGGCATAAAAAATTTTCTAACAAAACCTTACGGTTTTTGTAGATGTGAATTTCTAGTTAAAGATTTATTAGGTGATTTGTTTTAAAATTGAAGCATTATTGTAAGGATCAGAAACAAACAAAAAAAAAATCCCTTATGTTTAAATATAAAGTAAAATTGTATTTAAGAATGATAAATATGTGATATTGAGTGATTTTTGGCATAATGTTCAGCATGCAAGATATATTTTTTAAGAATTCTTATGAAAATGAATTCGAAAAAGTATGCAAGTTTTTAATATTTGCATTCCACCTCTCAGTTACCCTTAGCTATCAAACAGGTTTTGATTTTTTAAGCCTTCTCTTTCATGACTTCTCAGATTTTCACACTATTAATTCGCGACCTTCGTGTATATTTTTTTTAAATTTTATTTTCGAAACTATATATTATATAATAAGATTCTAAGAAGATTACAAAGAAATATATATTAAGATCCTTGATTATGGAACAATCATTATTATACATATTGTGTACAATTTATCAATATTGATAAACAAATTCTTATGACTCACAGCAAGATGTAAGCGGCGAAAAGAGATCTTTATCTATAACTTCAGTAAGGAACCAAAATCGTCAAAGCCTTGTGTCAAGAAAGCCATCAGAGATGATGTATAAAGTAGGCTTAGATCAGAGCAGAAAGTTTGTTGAAATAACTCAAATATCTAAAGATCCATTTGAGTTTAGAATTTTTATTGCGTAGCAATAAAAATTCTATATTCAAAAAATACTTTCATATGAATATTAAACTTTTTTTCTCTTTGAAATGCTTCAATAGTTTAATTATTGTTTCACTCAGAAATAAATTCACTGTTTCTAATATTTATAATTTTATATTAAATTCCTAATTGATCCCCCTAATTAACGAAATGTTCTTTAAAAAATGTAGATAGGTTTCGCTATTCATGTCCAGTCACTCAGAATTGGGAATTATACCTTTGAAGGAGTTACCCAGTTTAAGTATCTGGGTACACTTGTTACCAACAAAAATGAGATAAGGGTTGAAGTTGGGAACAGACTTTTAAAGGCTAATAAGTGCTACTTTGGTCTGAGGAACCAATTAAAATCAAAATTCCTCTCCATTGGTACAAAAGTAAATCTATACAAAATCTTAATCAGACCAATTATTCTATATGGTAGCGAGACCTGGGCAATTAATAAAACAGAGGAAAATAGACTACTCATTTTTGAAAGAAAGATCCCTCAGTCAATTTTTGGAGCAGTTAAGGAAAATAATATTTGGAGAAGTTAATATAATCATGAGATATACAATAAATATAGATTACCTAATATTTTGAGGGTTATTAAGGCCTACAGGATCAAATGGCTGGGGCACGCTTTTAGGCGTGAAGATTTGGACCTAGTTAAAAAAAATTACTTTTTCGAAAATTGAAGGAACTAGAAGAAGAGGGAGGCCAGCTTCAAGATGGTTGGACAGTATTGAGAAGGACTAATTGTTGAGAATAACAGGTGGTAAAATTTAGCTCAAAGTCGCCCTGCCTGGAGACAGCTAATTGAGAAAGCCTTGGCCTGCACTAGGCTGTAGTGCTGATGACGAAGAAGGTTTCGCTATTATTAGACTCGAAATTAAACCAATGCTATGAATTTTTTTCTGATTCAGTTGTAGCGACATAAAAGGTTTCAAACAGTTAGCGATTATTCTGAAATTTCCATAATCGGCTATCCCTGGATACCCTTCCATCCCTTTGTTCAAAAGGGGTCTTCACCTATCTTCCCAATCAATTGCTTTCAAAAACTTCTTTCATTTTCAACTCCAAAAATACTTTCTGACTAGATCACAATAGAATTAATGCATTTTAATTTTGAATTCGTTTTTTGAAAATATTGATAATTCATTGTTTTAAGTTTTTTTTTTTTTAAAAAAAAAGCCTTAAATAATTTTTCAAAAGNAAAATATATATTATATAATAAGATTCTAAGAAGATTACAGAGAAATATATATTAAAATCCTTGATTATGGAACAATCATTATTATACATATTGTGTTCAATTTATCAATATTGATAAACAAATTCTTACGACTCACAGCAAGATGTAAGTGGCGAAAAGAGATCTTTATCAATAACTTCAGTAAGGAACTAAAAGCCTTGTGTCAAGTAATCCATCAGAAATTATGTATATAGTAGGCTTAGATGAGAACAGAAAGTTTGTTGAAATATCTCAAATATCTAAAGATCCATTTGGAGCTAAAACAGTTCAGAATTTTTATTGTGTAGCAATAAAAATTCTATATTCAAAGAATACTTTCATATGAATATTAAACTTTTTTTCTCATTGAAATGCTTCTAAAGTTTAATTATTGTTGCACTCAGAAATAACCTCACTGTTTCTAATATTGATAATTTTATATTAAATTCAGGGTATCCGCGCATCTGGAAAGTCATGAGTCAGCTATCCCTGAATACCCTTCCATCTCTTTGTACAAAAGGGGTCTTCACCTATCTTCCCAGTCAATTGCTTTCAAAAACTTCTTTCATTTTCAGTAATGTGTGCACTCCAAAAATACTTTCTGTCTAGATCACAATAGAATTGATGCATTTTAATTTTGAAATCGTTTTTGAAAATATTGTTAATTCATTGTTTTAAGTTATTTTTTAAAAGAAAAAAAAATAAGGCCTTAAACAATTTTTCAAAAGAGAAAAAGCTTTTCGTTTATGCAGAGAAAATTTTGAATAGTGCTATCTGTTTTTAATTATTTTTTTCAACAAAAGAAAAAGTATTGAAATGTAAAACATGTAAGAATGAATTTAAAGTAATAGGTACTTGAAAGGCACACAAAGACTCTATGCTTGAAAGGCACACAAAGACTCTATGCTTGAAAGGCACACAAGACCGTGATCTCTGCCCTTTATCCTGTCTTGTCCAGTGCAATCTATATCAACATTCAAACCCGGCCAATTAAATTGGTTTACTTCACTGGTTACTATATTTTGCCATATTTTACTCTCCTCTTTTCCACCTGTTGATAAAGTCAATGGGATTTTGTTCCCTTTGGAATGATTTCGTAATATATAGCCAATTCAGTTACATCTTCTCTTTTTTATATCAATTTCTTATGGCTTTGTATTTTTAATTTCATATTCAAACATTGTATTTTCCATACCTTAGCATTCTGAAAGACTCCGGTGCATTTTTGTTGTTGTAATCCATTTACATGACACTAGAGCTGCACAATGGGCTATTGGTGACGGCCTGGGAAACATCCTTGAGGACGATCCGAAGACATGCCATCACAATTTTGATCCTCTGCAGAGGGGATGGCACCCCCGCTTCGGTAGCCCGACGACCTGCACGCGAAGTCGAGCACTTTACGGTAGAACAGTTTAACGAGGACCAATACCGCACACCCTCGGTCCCTACGCAGACCTAAGTGGTCACCCATCCTCACACTGACTGCAGCCAGTGATGCTTGACTTCGATGATCTGCTGGGAACCGTGTCTTAATGATCAGTCCATTGCGGGACTCCAGTGCATTTTTAATCCTGCTCTTAATACCCATGTCCAGGAGCATCACGAGTACTAACAATTGCTCCGAGGTATGTAAAAGCATGTCTCTTCAATTTCCTTAGAATTGACAGAATAATTTGCCAATGGATACTATGTTGTGCTTTTTTTTTCCATTGTCAGAATTAATTAGTTTGAAGTTTGTCTAAAATAGAAGCATGCCAGTCAATGAAAAAAGTACTTTTAGCACAATTAACATTTGATCATGCACCATTTGCAGCTATCTATTGACATTGTTGCATTTTTAATTATCTGCTTTCGTATTTGTTTAGAAGCCTTTACTTTTAAGGAAATTTAATAACATTTTTATGTCACCCTCTACGCTCAACTTGAATATGAGCTCAAAAATAAATGAACATATGCAAATTTTTAAACATAACTATTCTGAAAATCAAAAACTGCTTACTGTTGGTTAAAAAATCTTCTGCTGATCAATTTATTGGGTCGAAACAGGAAAATGAGTTTTGAATAATATGTGGGGTTTTTTTTTTCTGTTATAAGAAATATTCACTAAGCTAATCTCTACACCAAAAATTTAGTAACCAAAACACTTTAGAAAACTATAATACATTTTCAAACAAGGGTATAGTGCTCAGAGGGAAATTTTATTCAGTAATATTCTCTATTCAAAGTTTAAAAAAAATGTAATTAAAATTTTCCTAATGTGAGACAATTGAGAAGTGTTATATAAAATTCTTTATCTTTTGTAGCCCT